GTAATTACTCATTCTTCGCATTTCTTTTCCATTTTCAACGGTCCCTTTTTTTGTCCTTATTTCGTATTTGGTGATTAGGGTTTCTGTTTTCACGCAATTTTGGTGTACACGACACTATTTGGGTGTTCGTCACTGCGTCGTATCGGAAGTTCTTTCTCTTGCTTGCAACTTTTTGAGCTAGAATTGAGTTTACTTGGCCTTTTAACTGGCCTTCGCTCTAAATTTCCCAATTTAACGAATTTTCAGCTCAACCGCATTGAGATTTTGATAGTTTGTTGTTTTTGGCAGTAGTATCGAATGAGTGCTTGCTTAACCTGCTGTAATTGTTTATTCTGTGCTTGGTTTTCCTTCTATCTGTTGTATTTTATTCCCGTTCTTTTTCCTTTTCTTTTTTTCCCTTTTACGGCTGAAATCAGCCGCTAGTCTTGATTTTTGGCTAAAACTTTTTGTAGATTGTGCTACTCGACAATAGTCATTGAATTTCATATGGCGCAACTGGTTTGTTAGGTCGGACCTGGCGGGGTTTCTTTTTTCTTTTTTTTTGGTTATTGGGGGATGGCGGTGAAATACTTACATTTTCGCTGATTTATGGTTTTTTTTTTGAAGTACAAAAAGGTCAATTGGTAAATGTCGAAAGCAGCTTGGGATTTTTAGTCTTCATGGGCGGAAGATGAAATACTTGGGATGAATGAGTTTTTTTTTTTTTTGGTAGCAAATTGATGAACAGATTGATAAGTTTGGCAATCTAGGAGTCTTTCTGTCTTGCACAAAGATCCAAATTTGTGTTCAAACTTGGGAAGTTTGGAATTTTATTTAGTACTATCTGAGGTTAGTTTGTATGTGTTGGAATGAAATAAGGAATTCAAACCAAAAGTGAACTAGTTGAACATATACCTCCATTTAGAGACAAAAATTGTTACTTCCTCCCTTCAATTGTATTGGGGAGCTTCTATACTGTTGAAAAAATTAAGTTGATGATTGGAGATAATGCTTTTGCTATTCAAACTTGGACTTACTTTGCTTAATGTTATTCTACTCTTATTTGCAGGCAGGCAACAGGCACACTATTGTCCTTATGCAGACATCTCAGAATAGAGCAACTCGTACTTTCATGGATTATGCTTCTATAAGTCAGGCAATGGATGGTATCTTCTCACTACATGTACAGCTGCATTTTTCATTTAATGTTGTCAGCAATTACAGTTTACAACATATGGTTCTGCACCTAAAATGGTGATTGGGACTTTTCTGCTTGTTTGTATGACTGCATATACTACTTAGAGTTCTAATAATTGTATGCTCCCCCCTGTATTTTAGTTTAAAAGGATAAGTATTTTGAGATAACTAATACGTTGAACACTTTTTTTTTTCTGTCTAAAAATATATAAAAAAAGATAGCGAGAACATAATAAGTCTAGAATTTGTGAGTGCTTGAATTGTCTAGAATTTGTGAGTGCTTGAATTGTTAGATTGTAGCGCTGTATTAATGCCTGTGTTTGTATTCCTGATGCATATTCTGTTTAGTGTTGCCGGAGAATTTCAGAAAATGCCCAGAAATACCTAATGAGCTGTATAGCGTGTGCAATTTCCCTAAAGATGTGAGCAAATATTTGATAAGATAGTTGAGTACTTTTTCACTAGAAAATGTGGAGAATGTTGAATAATAGTATGATGTCAGTGATGTATATCAAGGTGACTTTTTGAGTAAATCTAAGATCTATCTGAAGCTTAACTTTCATGATGGAATGAGAGAGCTGCCTGTAATATGATTGAGCAGCTATTGTTGTAAAGGGCAATTTGTCCTGCTATGATGAGAGCACGCCTATTACACAAACACACACAGAGCTACATGCCTTAGAAGTTAGGACTAAAAAGAAGGTCATTTATTCCCATATTGAGAACTCAGTGAATTTTTTTCTTTAAAGGACTTCTGTTAGGATTTCTACGTGTGTAAGAGCAACATAATTTGGAAGCACTCGCTTAAGGCCCCGCTTGAGATTGTGGCGGGTTCACTTACAAGAGTTTTCAGAGAAAGTCCTTCAAAAGTGCTTAAATCTGTAGTTAGGAGCGTAGTTGCATAAGTACCTTTATGTTTGATAGTAGATGGTTGTCAAAATTGTTAATGTACTTCTGTCCTCATTCAATTTAAAATTATGATAAAAGGTTCAAAATTTAATTTTTTTAGGACAGAAAGGGTATCTCAGAAGCACCATTATTTAACTTGTGCTAAAAGTGCTTTTGAGCCCACGAGCTCTACTACTAGGTTTTTGGAATGATACCTATGAAACCCCTGAAAAGTAAATTTATCTTCTGCAAGTATATTTAAGCAAAAGTACTGTTGGGGAGGGTGGAGGAGAGGAAAAACAGCTGCTGTCGTTGATACTAGATCAAATCCTAAGAGAATGTACTCAGGGGCCTCTATAAGGAAGGAACACCTTAGTCTCCCTCTGTAGCAATTGGACATATTCTAGTCCAATGTGGACTAGGACATTTGGTCCTAGTCCTAAACATTTCTCTCCTCTTTGGGATCTTGTGTAAATCAAACTTGTCCTTGGTTTGATTCGAAGAATGCTTAGGTGGTGAGGTTTCATAGCTACACTTAGTCAAACCCCTTTTCCTTCAGATTGCCAAAACGAAAAATAAACTGCTGATTGTTCTCTATTCTTCAGTAAAACCATCCTAGTTCATGAGGAAGGCTTGCTAAAGCATTTATTCTGGAAAGGTTGACTGCCAAGATGGCTCAAATTTTGAATTTTTAAAATGTACTGTCCATATAAGATTAACATCATGTGTGAGGCCCATCAAAATAGTTATCAATTGTGTTCAAAAGTGTTTACAGTAGTGAGTAGACCATTTTAGAACCTGTTACAAAAGTTGTACACCGTTCCTGCCCCTTTCCTTCAATTCAGCATAGATCTGAGACTTACTGCATCAATAATGCATAAATGCATATTATGCAGACACATGCAAAACATAAGTAACGCTTTCTAATTTTTCCTACCTTTTCACTTGAAATATTCATGTTTATTGCATCATAGATTTCTTCCTATGAGGACATAATAAATATTGTAGTAGTCAAAGAACTAGTAACGACGTTACCTTTGTTAAATGTATCATGACTTGATAATAACGAATGCATACGCTTCTTAGGCTATGGCAGCATGATAATGTGATAGAGCTTCCTGGAGATTGTGACAGTTTAAGAAATAGCAATATTTGGTTGTTGGGGGTAACCTCATTTCGGCTGATTGCTGTTTACTGTTTCAAGCGTTAATACTGCAGATGGTTGGCTTGTGCAGTTTTCTATTTGTGTTGCTGATAAACCGTTGCTGTAATGGACGAAATCAAAAGCATATATAGGACTCTGATGTTTGTTATATTTTTCATTCTGGTTAATTGGTTAGGTTTGATAGATTTGTGCCAACATTAACTGAATCCAGCACATTGATAGGGGCAATTTGGAGATTGTGTATTTTTATAAACTGGATAAGAGGCTTTGGTAACTCATGTCCAGGCACTGATTTTGAAGTTATTTCTTCATATTCTGTTTCAGGGTTGTCTCAACTAACTCATTTTGTTGCTATGACTGCAGGAATTTGTGGACTATATGAAAGGAAACTCAAGGATCTAAACCCATCCAGCAGGAACATCAACTATGATATTTCAGATCTTTATAATTTTATTGATGGCCTTGCGGATATGAGTGCATTAGTGTATCTCTCCCTCTCTATCTCTCCCCCCTTTTTGGTTGTATGTGCATGCTTGCCTATTTGTTCACGTTTTGTTTGTAAATGTATCTGTACCCGTGTCTGTTATTCATGAATATTTTTGGCTGCTCAATCACAGCTATAATTAGGAAACAAAAAAGAATAAATTTGCTAACACTTGTTTGCGAGTGTATGCAACTAAACTGCTGCATTGCCATCACCTGATCATGTAAATTTTGTTGTCAAGTCATTATTTTTCCTAGGAAGTGTTTGTTAGCAATTACTGGAAATTGTGGGAAAAATCTGGGACATTTTTGGCTGCTAATAAGCTCTCACTCTTCTGTCATGTAGAGTCAGCATGTAGGTTTTAGGCATAATTCTTTCCTCAACATTGTAGTCATTCTTCCATTCTTATACTTGAAACCCTATGCAATGTAGATAGTGATTGATAATAGGATGATTAGCACATTTGTCAATCTGTGTTTTGACGATGTAATTAATGCCAAGTTTTCTGTGTACAGCTATGAGCACTCAATCCAGGCTTACCTGCCATATGACCGGAAATGGATCAAAACTAAGTTATTGCAACACTTGAAGAAATTAGCGCAATGAGGTGTTTTAACTGCTTAGTTAGCATGCTATAATCTCTGATCGGAATTTGGTAGGAAAATGCCTGAAGCACAGAATTGAAGTCCTTTAAGTCACACTCCAGATGTAATCTGTCTAATGTAAGCTTCTGGTCGCTTTCAGCTCCCCTTTCTGGGAATACGTTGTGCAGTTATGACCCCTACGTTCAGTGTCAGGTGCTGTTGGTGGTGAGCTAGTTTGTAATGTAGCTTGTATCTTCAAACAGATGCTTGCCCTTATTATTGCTGCCGTGTAACTCTTACCTCTGGATGAGGATAATTGAGTAAACGAATAAAGCAAAGAAAAAAAATGAATCAGTGTGTGGTTGTTCTCTGGGATGTAGATTGTAGCTACAGTATTAAGTGGTTCAATTCTTAATGTACTGTATTGACTGTTCCAGTTTTGCTTCATCGTGCACCCTACACCAGGCTAGCTGGCTGGTAGCTAAACTAAGACTGTTTTCTGGAGCTGTAAAATATCATTGTCCATGATTGCAATCTAGTCACAGTTTGAAGGAAAAGGGGAATCAAAGGAAAACAGGAATGGATTATGTTGAGTTCTTTGGGTGGTGAAAATTTGTATGTTGTGAGGTTTTTGGGGTGGCGGAAAAGGGGAATCAAAGTTGAGTGTTCTTTTGTGTATTTTATGGATGAAAGGGCTACGGAAGTTGAGCCTTTTAAGTTTAGTGGGCTAGCTTTTTTTTTTCTTTTTGGGTAAGCAGTGGCTGCTTCTTTTGCTCTCCGGCAGTATATTTTTATGTTTTCGCTTACCAGCTGTGGATGGTAAATGGTTGGACTTGCTAAGGAGTTCACCAAACTTTGTAGTGGTGTCCTCTGAGATGCTTGTTAGGTCTTTCACTGCTAATCTCCAACATTATGTTTAAAATAGGTTTCGGCAGTAAGTTTTCACTGGTAATTGTGAGTTTCTTCATCTCTTCAATTTCAGAATTTGCAATCTCATCCTGTTGAAGTTTTAATGTGCTGGATGTAGAATATCGAGGTAAAATCAACAGAAAGAACTCAACTTGATCGTGCAAAAATTTAACTAGTCAATTGGAAAGGGAAGGGAATTGATCAGACACCAAATGATGCATGAACTGACAGGCACATCTTTCTCTCGAAGAACTAATTCGCAGTTTTGTGTTTTCCTCCCATGGTGTTTTTTTCATAGCATTTCCATCTCTCTCTCTGTGGGATGCGAGGCTGAGTTTCGGTTCCTACTGGTTCTTCTTTCCTTGCAAGTTTTAAGGGTTTTGGAATGTGAGGCGAGTTACGGTGTTCTTTTGCATGTGGTGTTTGTCATGGGTTATATTGAATCAGACTCTGGATCATCTGTTTCTGTAGTAGATTGGACTAATCTTGCAGTCGATATTCTTGATGCAATTCTGAGCAAGTTGGTTTTGATCCCGGATTACATACGATTTGGAACCGTTTGCAGAAAATGGCGTTCAATTGCTCTCAATAAAAAACTGAACCGTATCGAATCAAGCCAGCAACAGCCCCCCGATGCTCTTGATCCCTGTGGACAGGAAGTCAAGAACACCGTAATTTGTGCAGTGTTTTCGAGGATAAACAAGGTATACCACCATCCACTACCAATTCCCTTCAGCAAAAGGTGCTGCGGTACCTCTTATCTTATTGCTGGTGGGCTTTTGCAGAAGAAGATTTTTCCATCACATTGATCAATCCCTTATCTGTCCCCGGTAGATCCAGAAATTCTTCCTGAATCCACGGGCTACAAACTTAACCCTGAGAATTTCATTCGCAAGGTAACTTTGTCCTGTGATCCTTGTTTGTATCCAGACAGATGATTACGTGGTTGCTGCAATCCAGAGACCAGCAGAGGCTGTGGGATTCACAAGGTCAGGTGACGAGTCTTGGAATTAGCCCTGCAGGCGGTTTTTGGATGCGAGTGACGTTCAGTTTTACAAGGGGCGGCTGTATGCTGTAAACTGCAAAAATCAGCTTGTTGCTTTGGACTACAGTTGCCAAAATGAATCATCAGGCAGCAAAGACGCAAAAGATCCCCTCGAATTTGAACATAGATTTATTGTTGGTCATGATAGGTATGCAGGTGCTGCTCCAATGGAATACTTGATCGTACAAGAACCTGCAGATTGGTTTGGCCTCGTATCTAGTTGAATCACTGGAAGGAGAACTACTTTTAGTCCATAGGCTTCACCTCTGGTTGCAGGATTATCAAGAATATGATCTCCAGGTGACTGTAAAGTTCAAGGTTTACAAGCTAACAACCAAAAGATCAAGTGATCGACGAGTTCGAATGGGTTGAATTCCAGAGTTTCGGCAACCACTCTATATCTGTAATTGCCAGCCAAATTCTATATACACTTAACAGATGACAACACTGACAGAGATCTTCATCATCCTTGGGAAGCTATTGACATGGGAGTTTTTCACCTGGACAATGAACAGATTGAGATGCACTATGACCTTCCTCAAGCTCTAAGATACATGCCACCAGCAGCATGGATGTGCCCAAGATTGCAGTAAACTAGAACTTTATTATCTTCTATAGATTTCTACGTATTCTAGCTTGTTTAAAATGACTGCTGCTGAGTGTTCATCTCTGCCTCTAGTTCCTTTGTCCCAACCAAAAAACGCCTAACATATTTATAGATTGAAGAAAAAAATGAAGGCTGAAGACATATCTAAACATCTTTTTTTTCCCTTCAATCGCCTGTAAGTGGACACCAGAAATGAATTTGAGATTCCACTTATTTCAAAAAGGAGAACAATCTCAAATGTAAACGAGGCTCCACTGATAGTTGAAAGCTTTATAATCAGCTTATTTCTGTAATAAAAATAACTCTACATTCTTTTTTTCAAATGCACCAGAGTAACTAGCCTCATGAATATTGTAGGGAAAAAATGTTAATACAAGTATTATTCATTATTCATGTCATGATATCGAAGACAAGCAGAGAACTTGATTCCTTCTCATCCGTCTTCAGTCACAAGTATGAAGGCACAACAAAATCCTAAATACCTTATCTACATGCTACAAAGTATATGCAACATCAAGTATCTTCTCCCTGTGAAAGAACAAATGGCATTGCTTAGAATCCTCATTCTACTCATTAATTTATGGAGCCAGTATCCAGGAAAGGATGCCTGCATGTTCCAAACGACCCTCAGTTGTCAAACAATTTCTTCACACTAACATTTATGAAAACATACAGATAGCAAGACTTGACTGCACACGTCAACACAACTCAATAGGGGGTCACTCGAAATGAAATAATGAGCACATTTAAGGCCAAAACTTGGGGTCGTGGGTATATTTATTTGCTTTGAGCTTGTTTTTGAACTGTGAGGGAGCTAGATGCTGACATAAACTGAAAAATACTGAACAAAACTAGGAAGAAGGATGATTCTTTATAAAGCCAACCAAGTAAAAGTGCTTCTCAACTCAACGAAGACAAGATACTGGAAATAGAATATTTGCAACGCATAATTGTTTGTCTTGCTGCATGTACTTGTCAAATATGAGGATAACAGCCGAACAGAAACAAAAACATTAGTCCATGGGACACAATTGTGGTGATGCATAGCTTTGACATACCACTTTACTTGACCAAGCAAATCTTGATAACAGACGAAGCTCCAATTCGGTGAAGGGCGACAACTGCATCACCAGGCTGGCACAGCCCTTTCTGTGTGGCAGATTTCAAAGCAGCTTCTAAAATCACCTCAGTTGATTCTGAATCAGTTGCTTTTGCAGATCCTTCAGCAAGAAGTGGAATCAGGCCCCTATAAATCAAGCTATGCCTTGCTGGGGTCTCATCACTGATATTCCAACCGAAATAGTCAGTTGTTAACACTGGGACAACTACTGACAGAATTGGCACAGCTGGTCTGTACTTGGCAACTAACTTCGCTGTTGTACCACCACGTGTCAGAACAACAATTAGTTTTGCTTTAGCCTTGTTAGCTGTGCGGACGGCTGAGGATGCAAGACTCTCCAGTGGGCTCATTGGCAATGGAGCTGAATTTATCATCTCCTTAAAGATAGCTCCATAATCAAGGGAGGATTCTGCCTCGATACAAATACGCGCCATGATTTTCACTGCAATCTCAGGATAGGCCCCAGCAGCACTTTCCCCACTTAACATTACACAATCAGTGCCATCTAGGACAGCATTAGCAACATCAGTGGCCTCAGCGCGAGTGGGTCGTGGAGACTTAATCATGGATTCAAGCATTTGAGTAGCAGTAACCACAGCTTTACCAACAAGATTACACTTGTATATCATCATTTTCTGTGCCAGAAAGATTTTCTCCACAGGGATTTCCATTCCAAGGTCACCCCGAGCAACCATAAAGGAATCTGTCTCACGTAGGATTTCATCAAAGTTGATAACGCCTTCTTGATTCTCAACCTTCAGTTTAAGCAGCAAGAGTCAATCTTTGGAATAAGTGAAAGCATTCGCTAAGAAAATCATATCATCAATGTTCTAATAACCACAGCTAAATGAATAAAGAAATTACAATACTTGCATGCAATAAGGAAGCAAGGAAAATGCTGCAGTTTAACCACATTTCTTTTTTCCTTTTTGGTTTTCAAATGTGCTATAAATAGCAGATAACATCTTCAAAGAGAAAAAAATCTACATACCTTTGACATTAGCTGAATGCGCTTGGCATGGGGCCCAAGAACTTTGCGGACATTAACAAGATCTGATCCCTTCCGCACAAATGAGAGAGCTATCATATCAATATTATTAGGGACTCCCCATCCCAAGATATCTTCCTTGTCCTTCTCTGTAAGCGTCGGAAGATCCACCACAACACCAGGAAGATTCACATTCTTCCTCTCTCCTAGCATAGCAGTATTCTCACAACGACATCGCACTGTCCCAGCTTGTGGATCACAGGACAAAACAGTAAGTGTGACAGTGCCATCTGAACACAAGATAATATTTCCAGGCTTCAAATCCACAGGCAACTTTTTATAGCTCATGGAAATCATTTTCTCATCTCCTTTTATGCCGTAATCTGTGGTTACAGTAATTTCATGGCCTTCCTTGAGCTGAATAGGCTTCCCATCCTTCAGAAAACCAGTTCGGATCTCAGGCCCCTGCACCACATGAGGATAGAGTATTATATTCCCTGACCAAGTTTGAATAATACTAGTGCAGTGCAGAGTAGTATTATTTTCCACACGTTTGAATAGTACAACTACGAGTAAATGAAATCATAAAGCAGTTCAAGATTGTTCTGGGAAAGAGGTCACACAAACCAGCCAACTAAAAACTCGTACACAATGACTGATGAGAAAAGAAAGTCTATAGCAACTACGGAGAAAAAATGATCTAGAGATCATTAAACTTTAAATCCAAGAAAACCCAGGATTAAGCTTGGGAGCATTTTGATGTTACTTAGCTCCAAAGATAGCATGTAGAAGAAGGTTGCAAGATACCATCCAGGTCTTGGGAAAGCCATTAGGTCAATGAAACCTCAACCTAAGTCTTGGAAAGGAAATAGAAGTCACAAACTTGCAGTGCAAAGGGAAGAATTCAAGTCCTGATGATTCAAGCATTGCTGACCTGGGAAAAACAATTCATAATTGTATTCATATGTCAATATCATGCCTATGACCTAATATCTTTTCTTTCTGAAGAAGGCTCGAAAGCTGGGATGGGGGTATTCTTATTTTAAATTCTCCAGGACTAGTAAAATACTTTAGTAAACTCGGCTAAAATCACACCCTGATACAAACAGACACAGACAAATAATTCAGCAGTGCATCAAGAAAGTTTCAGTGCGAAGAAGTTGAAAAAATTAAATAATTTTATCCTTATCCTTACAAACTAGATTTGGGACAACATGATCACATGAATAAATCCTTACAAACTAGATTTGGGACAACATGATCACATGAATAATAGCCACATTATTAATGTCATATTTTCTAATGTAATTTCATGGATTAAATGATGTTAAAAACAGATAGAAAGAAAATATTTCACCTCAATTGTAGGCATAACCTGCCACTAGTCAAAAGTTCTTTCATTGCACATATCTGACTAAATGAGTCGGGGAAAAGACAAAAAGTTTGCAACTTTTGGCTCTTTGAAAGGCAATGAATTTTTATGGCAGAGCTTGATGATTTTCTGATCTTAAGTAGCGTCACAAAGCTGGAATTTCACGGGCAAGCACGTATACATCTGAGCATCCTATTACTCAAGCTCATCAAGAGTGCAAGAACCAACCAGAAAAACACAAAATAAAATTGCAGAGAAAACAGCAAAGCACTTTAAATCACGGACCTTTGTGTCAAGCATGACGGCGCACAGGATTTGAGTGTTATGCATAGCAATTCTGAGATTGTTCAAGGTCTCCTGATGGTATTCGTGGGTCCCATGGGAGAAATTGAACCTGGCAACATTCATCCCAGCATGTAGAAGCTTCTCCAACATTGGGACAGATCGCGAAGCCGGTCCCAAAGTGCAGACAATCTTTGTCTTGGGAATTCGGCCATCATTCGGAAGCTCTTTCAAAATGCCCTCAATGTTTATGTTAGACATTTTCGTCCGATCAAACACGTCAAACAACTAAATGGCGACTGTTTAAATCCTAGAAGAAGCAAACACAGCTAGATTAGCAGAAGGGCTAAACAACAACAAGCTCAAGTAGATGAATGCAAGAATGGATTGTAATCATTCGTGCAAGTGGTGGAATGCGCTCAAAGGCAGCATACATCTAGAGGACGAACTAAAAATGCATCAATCATGGTCCAATTGTGTTCTTCAAGGGATTGAAAGGAGAAATCCCAATGATTTTGTTTCTTTCTTTTCCTGTCTATATTCTTGTTAATCTTTATTTTGAAGGGGGAAGGGGTTGCTGAACCAGGGAGAATGACAGTGCTTTCCCAGTGACTGCACTTTTTCATGAAAAGGACCGATCAAACAAAAAAGAAGCAACATATGAGATTCAGAAAGGCAAGAAAAATGGAAGCAAGAAAACATTGCCAGTAAGTTTCATCAGACCGAAAAAGATCTAGATCCCAATTAAGGACCCTTTTGATTTTGCAACAACAAAAAAAGAACAAGAAATCACAGAAACAAGCAAGCCAGTAAGCAGACAACAAGAAGAGCAAAGCAGCAGTGATAGACTCACCCAAAAGGAAAGAAAAAACCGCAGAGAGTGAGAAAGACAGAGAACCCTCAAAGCCCTTTTAGGAGGAGGAGAAGAAGAGTCTTCCTTAGTGCTGTCCTGCTGTCTAGTGATTGCTGTTCAAGATTTTTTTGTTTTATACTAATACTACTACAAATGCGTTTAACTGCTGTAATTTTCTTTAATTGAATGGATCTGTTCGTTAATTGCCACGAGTAGAAAAAAGTACGTATAAAGTGAAGTAGGAGAAAGTGGAAGTGGGAATGGAGCTTTCGCTTTAGTCTTCGGCGGGACAAGGCAAGACTGAAGCGGCGGGATTGGTCAGCAGCGGCAGGCAACAGGTAACCGAGGAATATGCCTAAAACCATCAAAATTTATGCTGCTTCCTACAATCCTACCCACTCTGCATTTTCACGTGCCTCACTCCTACTAACAACTGTTACACTACTACTACTAGTCTACTACTGCCACCTTAGCGTCTATCATTTCTATTCCTACTATTCCTAATTCCTAAGTAGATAGGATTACTTGTATTGTATTGTATTCCATTTATTTATTTAGTACCTATATTTTTTTTAAAAAAAAATTATATACTAAACGCCATACACCTTAAAAAAGTTAGAAACAAACACAAAAAATTAGTATATATTAGTCTCATAATACAACTTACATACATGCAGAATTTTCACAAAAATATATTTTAGGTATAGCAGATAGACATAGAATAAAGATTGAGTATATCACTAATTATTTGATTGCCATGTCCTTGTACATATCTTGACAAAATTTTCAGAAATTCTGCTCATATCCTTCACATTTTGCATGTATCATTTTCTCCATGGTTTGTTAAAAATTTTTTGTGAGGACTTGCAAATTTTCTTATTTTAAATTTCTATTACGAGCTCAATTAGATATTTATTTGGCCGTTTATTTCGAATATTTTATTTCAACCTCTTTATACTCAATTTCATGGAACTATGACCTACAAATATTTTAAAAATGTCTTGATTCGAAAATTTATTTTTGAAAGCTCGTTTAGAGTGAATGGTGGATATGCGTTTAGAGACAACAATCAAATCGAGAATACAATAAGATTGAAAAATTGGAGACTTATACATTAATCTTAAAATAGGTATTTTTTTTATGTTTAAGTGTTCAAGTGTTAGTTAGTTATACTATCGTTATAAGAATTTATTAGAAATTTCACTCTATCGCGCATAAATCGGAAGTACGCGTTTTCGCTAGCACAATTAATTGAGGGACTTAAGACTTTTATTTTGGGGCTATTAAGAATGAATAATAATAGTATGAATGGAAGTGCATTAAAGGTTTAGTGCATTAGTGAAACAAACTCGAGAGAAATCGAGCACGAAACGTGCGCGCGCGCGGAGGGAGAGTTGACTTTTGAACACTTTTGAACCACACATTTAAGCTTCTCAAGGAAGCTTCATTTGCAACAAAACACTCTCCTTTCTCTCTCTCTAACACCCAGCCATCTTCAAGGAGAAAACAACCAAAATCTTCATCAATTCTTGCTTCATTTCTTCATCAAATCACTCCAGAATTTACACACAACTTGCAAATCACTTGGAGATCAACTTAAGCTAGGCAAGGAGCTTGTTTTCCATGGTTTTCTTGGGCTTAAGATGACCGAAAATTTCTGCTCTAGCCATCTAAGGAGGTAAATGATGATCAACCTCTTGAATCTTGATTTATATAAGTTGTATTGCACTTGTGAGCTCATAGATTCATATGGATAGCTCTATATTGTTGGAAATCTTTTGAGTGGGCTCTATGAAATCCCACAATGGCTTGATGAACTGATTTGATGAGATTTTATGTTATTTATGTTGGATTAGTGCTTAATCTAGTGAAAATAAGTTGTGTTGTGAAAGAAAACTCAAAGGAAGTGAGATGAGCAAAAATGACGATTCTGCCCCTATTTTGCAGTGACCCTTAGTGCATTTTTTTGTGATTCAATTGACTTGATTTTGATATAAATATATTGTGTGGGTTGTGTGGAAAGTTTCTACCAAAAATCATCCAATTTGGTTGTCCAAAAGTTGAGATTTCAAAAATGTAGCAAAACTGGAAACGTAACCAGAGCCTCACTGGCAGCGATTTTGTTTTGGCCATAACTCTTTGCTCCGATATCGAAATCGAGTGCCGTTTGCAGCATTAGAAACTAGACACTTTCAGTTTCCAACGGTATAAAATGCATGCCCTGATTCCACTTGAGTGAGCTGTATCAAGCTTGTAAAGTTGCCTGTTCTGTTTCTCGTCTGTACTGGAAGCCCTGTTTTGAGCTGCGACTTGATGTTTAAATATGAGCTAGTTGTGGATAGAATTTTAAAACGATTCCTTCTGAGAAATTGTATCCTTATGAATGTAGTTTGCAATGCCACTAACCATGCTCAATTCTGAGTTTAATTGAGTGAGTTGTGGCCGGATTTCAGAGCTGTCTTCGTGAAAGAAAACCCTAATTCTTGACTGATTTATAGCTAATCTTGATTTGGGACTTGTTATTTGAAATCCTTGGTGTTAATCACCTACCAAATGTATTTTAGATGTTTTCTAGGCTTTGTTTTCATAAATGAATCATGTTCAAGGAATTTTTATTGGCCAAATGTTTGAGAAAAGAAAAATGAAAGTGCAAGGGAAATTTACCTTAGTAAATTGTGGAACTTTAGTGACTTTGTTAATTGACTTCCCGTGCGAATTTTTACATGAAAATTTACAGAGGGATAGACCTCATATAGTAGTGTAATCCTACCAAAATTGGTACGATTCTGAGTTCATATTTATGCTCAACAAAAGATTCAAAATCTATGTTTTAAATCTAGAAAATGGTCTAACAGTCCCAACTTTTGGATAACTTTGAGCCTCCATATCTTGGTGCTTAAAACTCCGATTCTTGTTCCGCTTGTTTTCTTTTAAACTTTGATTGTAACTCTAATTGAGTTCCAAATTTTAAAGGTTAGTTCGCATTGTGTGAATTTTTCCGAATTTCCAAAATTGGCCAAAAACCAACCAAAAAAAAAAAAAACTGCCTTAGTATTCAAAACAACATCTTGAACCCATAATTTGAATGTCTTCCATTTAGAATCATGGAAAAGTGTCTTCTAAGAATTTTTAGTACCTTGGGAGTAGTTTCTAACGGTACCAAGTTTTCCAATTTTAGATTTACCAAGAGTGAGATACGATTTTTCAAAAACCACTTAATAAATCTGAAATTTCTGAACTTAAAGGAAATTGAGGGTTTCGAACTCTCCATTTTCCTTCCACACCACTCGACCGTTTCGCACTTGACTTTAAAGATGCAAATCATATTTCTCTTGTACTTTTAAAACCCTACTTTTGAATCTCGATTTACGAGTAATTAAGGCTCGTATTTATGAAATTTTCTTAAATTGTATTAGTGTGCAATCTTTCTTGATATTTAGGGGTTTTAAGTGATATTGAGTGATAGTTTATTATTAATTGTTCAGGCACTCAAGAGGACCTTCAAGAAGATCTCACGGGAGACGCCTAAAACAAACGCTTGTACTTGCTTCTTGATTACTTGGTGAGTGTCAAGTGTATGAGTACTTGGTACATGCTTAACTGTTATAAATGATTGGAGATTTTGAAAATGGAATCAAGTGTGTACTTTACCGCACTCGTTTTCATTTGAAATGAAATGAATGATTGAACGATATTGAATGATTGAATGATATTGAATAATTGAATGAATGAAATGGTATGCTATGGCTGCATACGTCGCTGGAGTGAATCTCCTCGACTCACAAATGTACATGGGGGATGCCCAATCCTCACTGGTTAACTTTGAACTCGAGCCGGCATGGGGTTGGTCGGGCTCCTTGGTGAACCATGAGAACACGTAAGCTTGACCTAATGAGAGATCTTGCTTAGCATACTCAAGCAGTATCGCCTCAAATAAATGACAGGCGAGCCCGGTTGTGACGGCCCCACCTCCCCCTAGGGCGTACCCCAGGGTTCGGCGGACCGCCTGCCCAGCTCTCGCCGGGACTCGGTCGTTCACTACAGTCCTCAAATAAATACAAGATAAATCTCAAATATAACTCAAATGTTCCAACATTTACATGTCAAAAGTGAAGCGTCCACGCTTCCACTGCGCCACTCTGATCCATGATCCCAATTCTTATACGAGAGGAATTCCACAACAATAAAATCACAACAAGCCTTCCTTCGCCACGAGCCCTGTGGAGGGGAATAAAATAGTTTTGGGGTGAGTTAGAAGCTCAGCGAGTAACCAGTAAAATCAGAAATCAAATATATTTCACAATAATACATTTCGATCATTTCAATGATGTCATGATTCAGAGATCAAATGTACGTTTATTGCTCTCATGAGCCGGTGAAATCATTGCACTTGAACACCCAACGCTCAAATAGATCATTTAACATTAACATTGAGAGGGAGCCCCTTTTTGAGCTCCAGATAAACATGAACATGAACCATAAACAAGGTGGAGACGTTGGTGTCCAGCGCTAGACTTTCCCAGAACTCATTGAAGCCAAATCATGTCATGAATCCACATGCAAGCACGCATGATATGCAATCGAATAAATAATGCAAGAAGCATTTCACAAGTACTTTGGAAATAGTTTAGGGTCACTCACCTCTATGGCTCAGAAACCATCCATCATATATCATTGCCTTGCTCAAATCCAAGTTTTAGATCACAAACTCAATGCAATCAAGTCCTTTCAAAGTTCGGACAGCACTTTCCCTAAATTTGCTTACTTTCCCAGCCATCAAGGCTTCATTATTTCCTCAGCCAGTCCCAAAGTCACACAAATAAGTTCATTCAATAACCGTTCAATAAGCTCCAAGTAGTACGAGTACAATTCAAGCTAGGGAAAAGTCCGGAAATGAAAGTTAAGCTCAAAACCAGAAAAACAGTTTTGACGTCATTTTGCGGTAATGGTACCAAAGGCACTACGATTATTGGATGAGGGTGCAAGACCCACCATTTCGAAGCTAAAAGACAGGGCTACAACATCACAGAAGGTCACTCAACCCAGTTTTGAGTGCAAACAGGTCAAAAATGCAAGATACTACATCAAAAACGTAAAACAGATTCATCAAAACGCATTCTAGCGGAAACATCATAACTCAGGCTCTCCAAATCCAAATCTAGAAATTCCAAAACCATCTGAAAGCTAAGAAACAGGGCTAAATTTCATCAGAAGGCCTCAACAACCAATTCGGAAGCAATTCCAGCCAAAACAACCAATTACAGGCGCAATTCTTACATTCGGATAAAACTA